GTTAAGAAAGCACACTCTGAGCAATGAAGAAGTTTATCTAGGCAAGCAATCTCAAACTGTTTGGTCTCTTCAGTCTTTCAAAAATATTCAACTCAGAAACACTTTTGCTATGAAGGTGGTTTGTCCCTTTTGTCACTTACTGGATTAGAAATCAAAACCAAGCAAAAATATTCACTTTTTTCTTTTTTTTTTTTTTTTTTGGTGGCCTGAAGATTCCTTGAGGGCATTTCTGGGTTAATGTGAGAAATTGGGTTCGAAGCAGAGCATCTTGAGCCTGACTGCTTTGTTTAGCAGGCACTTAAACAACTGAGCTAATGAGCAGGCCCCAAAATATTTACTTTTGAATTCATTTAAGAATAATAAACTAATTACATGTTAATGAAATGCACATTTTAATGAAAAATGCTTTTCAAAACACTTTTAATGGGAAGAGAGGCAAAGTCTTACCATTTTGCAAATTTATTTATTTATTTATTATTTTTTTATTTGGTACAGGGTCTCACTATGCACCTCAGACTCATAGTGAGCACCCTGTTTTCAGCCTCCACAGCGTTGGGATTGCAGGTGTGCACCACCATACCCACTCGGTCTCCAGTTCAGCCTGTCCAGGGTGGGGCCCAGGGGCAGCATTAGATGCCAGGTTTTGAACTCTGGTCCCTACACCTACCAAAGCAGGTGCTTAGTCTGCTGAGCTTTCTCGCCGGCCCTTTTTGCAAATTTCTTTGACACTTAACTTAATAAAAAGTGATCAGCTTCTCATATATATTTTCTCTTTCATTCTGTTGTGATGTGTTATTTTGGTTGATAACCAGCCTTGCTCAGATACATCATTGTAAAGGGCAGAAATATTTTGATGGCCATTTCAGGTAATTGTGAAAATCCTTTGTTACTGCATCTAAACTACCCAAATACAGTTTCTGACAAGTTGGCTGAAACATGGCAGAGGGATTTTTTTTTTTTTTTTTTTTTTTTTTTGCTCTGAATGCCTTCAAGGCAGGTTTGGCTGGCTGTAGTTGTGGGGATCGAACCACAGCAACCTGAGCCTGACTGCTTTGTTGAAGCAGCCACTTGAAGAACTGAGCTAAGGGGTAGGCCCCCTTGCCTGAAACATAGAATCTGAAATCATATCAATAGATTTCTGCATTTAGTAACCTCAAAATTCACTAGTCCATCTTACATTCTGAAGTGAGTTTGTTTTCAATCTCATGAATATTTTTTTGATGCAGTGTCACAATCTTTATTTTTAGGGGACAGCTAAATAAAAATCTCTCCTTAGTGGTAAAAATAAAAAGCAGTTGTAGAAAAGTAGGTGTGGCTGAAAAGAGCAGGGTGATACAAGCAGCAACAAGAGTAGGCAGAACAAATCTGAGGATGAAGAGCTCCTGAAGTAGGGTAGAAAGGAAGAAAACCAATTTTTTTTGTTTTTTAATTTTAATTAAATGTGGTTCTTTAATTTTTAAAAAATTCAGCACTTAAGGTCTCATGCTAGCAGAACCAACGAAGGAGAAAGATGAAATGAGTTGAGACAGCAACAAGCCATGATCATGACCCCATAATTACCCATAGATTCCCTTTCTTGCTCCTTTCTAGACCATCTCAGAGTCATGGGTTCAAAGAATTTCTGTGGATCAATTTTCAATGTTGTGAGAGAAAGATGAAAACCTCCACAAAAATAAAACCCCATGGTGACAGAGATCGAAGGTGAGGGGTTTGTGAAAAGATGCAAGCCCAGCGGCTGCCTCCAGTGGTTTGAGATGCAAAGTTCCCACCAGTAGGAGACAAGGTGAGTGCTCTGGAAAGGCACAAGCACAAGGAGCCACGCCTGTGCCTGGCAGAGATGTTTTCCACGAGTTAGATACTGAACAGTGAGAGGTCGATTATGAATGAACCTAGTTAGTCCCTTCCAAATGGGAGTGATGTAACTTTCCAAATTACTGTGATTTTTAATATTTTCCAGAAGTATCAACCAAAATTATCTACTTATTACCTGTTGTAATAGAATATGTTTCTCTTTGGTTGTTTCTTTTTTATGGGCAGGGATATGTTTATTTTATTTTTTGAAGCATTTGTTAAGAGAAGAATAAAACAATGCCTGTAAAAGTCCCTTTGGAAATCGCAGGCATCACTGCTGCTCTCTAGGGAAGGAGTCACCAGGCTACAGGGAGAATGAAGTTGAGCCCAACACACACACACACACACACACACACACACACACACACACACACACGGTCAGTTCAGCCTCCACAACCCAGAGAAACGCCTAAGTGTTTCAAAATTACAGAGACAAAAACATTTCTTTTTAGAATATTCATTTTAGGAAGTGTCTGTGGAAGGGGATTTTTTGTTCTCTTGGGTTGAGTCAGAATCACTGATAATGATGCCTTGGTCCCTCAGAAAACCCCCAGAGTCTTTTTCAGTTTATTCATTTTGTTTGTTATGCAGTACTTCTTAAGTTCTTAGACTTTCTTTGCCTTGCACCCGCCCCCCACAGCAGCATAACCAGAAGAACGAAACCCTCCTGTCTACTCACTTCTCCTTTCCCCTCAACCCCTGCCCCATTCCTGCTCCATCCCCAGCTTCCATCTCATTCCTCCAGTTCAAATTCCTGAGGGAAAACGGTGAGAAGAAAAGTTGAGGGCGGCTTTGGGGTGCTTGGGAGGCTCTCAGCTCACGCTGCAGGCAACACCAGGCGAAGCAGAGGCTGTTTGCAGACACTTAAGGCTCTCCCAATAGCAACCTTTGCCCCCAAACTGTAGCAATGTTGTGTTCCTTGCTGGAGGCGTACTAGAAATTGGCCATTTTCGCATTTTACAAAAGTGATGTGAGTATTGGCCCTCGGCTTTTTTATGGAAGTTATGGAGCAGAGAAATTCTGAATTTTTTTTTCTTTTCTTGTTGGAGAAGTAAAATTATAGGTTTATAAAGTGGCCATAAAGATAAGCCTGCAGGATACAATACCAGGGCTTTGTACATCTGGGACTCAGTGAATTGCTTCTAAGAAAATCTGTGCTTTGCTCCTGAAATGCCTAAGGGAATATAACTATAAAAATAAACATTTTAAATCTCATGTCTTTACTTACGAAAAATTTCTCTAAATAATATTTTCTCTTTTATCTGAACACTTGTTCTAATTTCTATTTACTATAAATGTAGCTGTTCTTTCTGGGTTTTCTTTCTCTGTTTTTCTGTTTGTCTGCTCTTTGGGGACACTTTTTTTTTTTTACAGTATGATCCTGTTATCATGAAACTGGACACAATCTTTTTCTGTTTATTTTTGAAATGAGGTCTTACTATATTGCTCATGCTGGCCTCAAACTTTCGATCTTGCAATTGCAGCCTCCCAAGTAGATGAGATTAAGGCATGGACCATTGTGCCCAGGTTTGGACCTATTTCTTAAAAGCTGGACTCCTGCATCCTGCTTGGCCTGTGTGCTGCCTCTGGGTGCCTCAGGGTGTGTCTTCTCTGGATGCCTCTGGATGTCCTTTACTAGCTAGCATTGAGTGCACTGCTCACCGAATGTTAGAAGAAGCTTGGCTTGCATACACTATGGCAGTGTGGCAGACCTCCACTGTGCTACAGTGGACTGTTGGTATCACTGGAATCCCTCAAAGGATGTCATCGCTGCTCTGTGGTATTTGTTCCTGAGGCAATCTTCCAGGTACGCACTGTTATTGGCACACCACCGTAGATGAGAAAACTGAGTCTGAGAGGGGAGAACTGTTTCGCCCTGTGGGGTGGCATAGCTTCAGTTTCAAACTGGGTTCTTTAGACATTCTTGTTTTCTGCAGTCAACGTCCTGAACTCCCTCCTATCCTTCATCAACAGACTTCATTTGTTGGAAGATTTGGAAATGACCTGACTAAGGTCTGGTGCTCCGCAGACACTGCCGGTGAGAAGCTGGGCATACAGGGCACTGAGGTACAAGGTTCTCCGAATACGAATTACAACACTTCTGGCTCCCCTTTGCCAGAAAGCCCAGATGCCACAGAGCCCACTGTGGCTCCCACCTCCTGCTCCCAGCTGGGCATCTGGCAGCTGACCACTGGATCTGAAGGACCAGAGTCTCCCTGGGTTCTAAATAAAAGCTCAAGAAAATGATGTCGGAAGGCAGCTCCCCAGAGTTTGGATTCCACTTAATTCAGAACAGGAGGTCTTACTCCCTGTTGCTCTCTCACCTCCTAATGAGAATCCAGCTGGATTTTCTCTGGTGAGGAAAACTGCTCTTTGACTTTACAAAATAGCAGGCAGAACCCCCAATTGGGCCGTTGTTTTATTTTTATCCTTCATTCTTTTCTGTGTGCAAAAGGATTGCTTTTAAATGGACTAACTTTTTAAAATTATTATGGATTTTTCCAAGTTATAGCAGTAAAAATATAAGAAATGACATGGGAAATTAGGTAGTATATGTTTAAAATGTCAAATCGTTTTTTAAAAAGATTTCTGCTGTGAACTCAGGCCCTTGCACTTGCCAGGGAAGCGCTTATTCCACTGAGCCCTCTGCCCAGCCCCTGCTGAAATACAAGTTGTCTTCTTACAGATCTTTTCTGCGTGTTCAATTTAGGACACTGGGAATCAGGAGGGTGGACGGAGGGGTTTGGAAACCACTTTTAACTGTAAACACTGGAGCATGTTTTAGGCTGGGAAAAGCACTAATGCGCGCGCGCGCGCGCGCGCGCGCGCGCTCACGCCTGTATCAACTTTACAACTGCATGCCTCACAGAAGGCCTGGATTTCAGCAACATCTTAGGGCCCTTCAGCAGAATTCCTTGCTTACTCAGAATTCCTATCTCAAGGAGAATCAGAAACACAGACTAAGAAAGGTGACATTTGAGCATGTGAGTGTGACTATCCCAGAAGCCAAGTGCTAGTGCCCTTTGCAAAGCTGAAACCAGCCCCCATCAGGTTAACATTCAGCCCAAACACTCTCAGTAAAGGAAAACAAAGACCACATTCTGATGCCTCCAGGGACATGCAGTCTTCACAATGCGTTTTATTATTCATAAAAAAATAAATTTATTTACATATGTTAATTGCTGTGGAAGTGCAGACTCAGCAGCGTGCTGGCCCTAGGCACCTTCGGTGAGGTCACCCTTAGCTCCAGCAGCTTGCCTGGGCACAGGAAAGAAAGCGTGCGCAAAGGCTGTGCTGGGGCAGGGGCCATCAGAGCTTGGCAGGCATTTGGAATGCGGGGAGAGGGAACTGCAGTTAGCAGCCTGAGCAGGCAGCTCCAGGGATAGTGGGTGTGAGGCTGGAGCCTCGAAGAGGAATCTTGGATGGACAGTGATGACAGAACAGAGGAGGGAGCTTAGAAAGGAGCCTCCAGGGGGAGAGCGCAAGGGCTCAGGGGCAGGGCAAACCTAGCCTGGCTGCTCTCTGCCTTGTGCCTCCTCTGCCCTGTGCACAGTTAGCAGCACAGCTGTTGCTGCCTGGCAGGATAGAAAACTGACCCATATGTGCCACTTTCTTTTCTTGGTAACTTAAAACATCCCCAAAGTGGACCTTACATCACGATGCTGTTTTTTAAGAGGATCCATAGTGACCTCTATTTTATAAAGCCTGGAAGCCTGGGCTGTGCAGAAATCTGCCACAACATGACATACATGATACATCTGACCCTGCTGGAAACTAACCCTAACATTATGGAGGCCTAGGTGCTGTGGTGTTGGGCTCAAACGGCAGCCTGGGCTATAGCACTAAAGGCCCAGAAAGAAGCTGGGCTCCTGTTGCTCTCACACGAAAGGATGCTCTTTCCAGCCTTGTGGCCCAGATGGGGCACCTCCACCGTCCAGTTTGCAGGTCCAAGGAAGTGGGAGGGCCCAGGAGGATCCAGTGGCACTTGCTACCCATCCTCTGGTGTTCAGGCTTTCTTGGTCCTCAAACACTTTGGTGTAACAAATAATCCCATCAAGTGAGTTTGATCCTATCTAAGCCGTGGTTCCACATAATCTGTTTGCTGCTGCAGAAACGTCTTTGGTGTCAGAGTCAGGCCGTCCGGAGACCACAAATGGCCACGTCTGTACAATCAAAAAGACAGTCATACATTGCAGAGAAAACAGCATCTCAAACAGAAACTGCTCCCTTAGGTGAACTCCACAAATCCCTAACTCAGCTTTTGTTAGCATTCTGAAAATCTGTGTATTTTTGTCTCAAATCTGAGGTGGTGATCTTACTGGATACTAAGTATGGCAGATATTGGATGTCAGTTCACAAGGATTCAGGTGAAACTGAGTCTGGGATTTCTTCGTGTGTTTAATCTTAATCCTTGGAAACAGAGAGAGAGAGAGAGAGAGAGAGAGAGAGAGAGAGAGAGAGAGAGAGGACTCGTTCCAAATAGAAACTTCTATAGACTGGAATGTGATCTGTCTTTCCCAATCCTGGAGACCTGGTAGATAAGACAGGGACTTTCCAGACAATTTGGCCTGTGGACACTGGGCTACTCACATCCATTTTAAAAATCCAAAACCTTTTTCAAAGCTCAGTTTTCTGTCCTTTAAAGTAGGAATTTCTGGTTCAAACCTGCTCTGCTCTTTGTTGGAAAAAGCTGGGCAAGTGAGATTTGTTATTTAATCTGCAGCCAGTAGTATACTCAGTTGTAACTAGGGTTTATGCCGGAAATAGGATGTTAACTAATAGTTGCCACTGGAGGAAATACAATACACAGGGCAGAATCATGCGAACACTGACCACTGAATGGTTCTTTTCCAGGAAAAGAGTAGTTACCTCTTCCTTTGGTTTGGGAGAAACTAAACTAGGATTCCCATCACAGGCCCCACGCATCCCCCTTAGGCTTCTTTCTAGCAGGCTGCCTTGCCCTGCGGCGCCCACGGCACTCTAGGACTTCCTCGGCCCTCACCCCGTGGCTGCGCGGTTTCCCTACCAGGTTCACTGGGTGCACGTAGCCGTTTTCGTAGCGGTCCTCCTGCAGCAGCTGCCGCAGGTGCGCGATGTAACTGGAAGCGAGCCGCAGCGTGTCCAGTTTGGACAGCTTGGTGTCAGGAGGTACCCAGGGCAGGCTGGTCTTCAACCGGGAGAAGGCTTTGCTCAGCACACGCATCCGGGCGCGCTCGCGGGCGTTGGCCGCGTTCCGCTGTGACTGCTTGCACTCGGCGGCCGAGCCTTTCGGTAGGAGAGCCTTTTTACTGCAGCTGCCGTCCCCACTACCTAGGCAGCCGCCCCCGGCCACACGAGGCCGCTTCTTCTGGCATCCTCCAAGATCGCGGGCTGCACCCACGGCGCACCGCTCCTCCTCGCCGTCGGGGTCCTCCTCCTCCGCCGACGAGTTGTCACTGGGCGAGGCGTAGCGGCGCTCTGCGCCCGGGACAGGCTGCCTCTTGGAGGAGGCGGGGACCGGGTACCCTCGCTGCAGCCCCCGAAGCTCCATCTCTTCGGGGTCACTCACTGAGCCCGTGGACATCTCTTCGTCTCCCGCGCCCACGCGCGTCCGCTTTTCTCCGACCTGGCCAGCCTCACACGGTCTCCGCCTTCCCCTTCCCGGCGGAGGCGGGGGCCAAGGAGTGCTCCGAGGGAACAGCACACTTGGGCGGAGAAGCAATTGGAGGCGGCCGCGAGAGAGCGAGGTGGGCGGTGAGAGGGCGCGCACCCCGCCGCTGACCCCGGGGAGTGGGGCCCTGGAGTTGGCGCCGGGATCCAGGCTCGGCACGCAGGAACGCGAGCGCTGCCTTTTGACAGGACTATTTATCTATACTCCTCGGAGCAAACCACACCGGGCAAAGGAGAGGGGGTTGCAAAGGGGGACAAGAGGTGGGGCAGGGGCGTGGAAAGGGTGGGGATGGCTTTTCTGCTCCCAGGAGTGGCCGGTGGGGGCGGGGGTCATGGAGCTTCTCTCTGGAGCCGGATGGGGCCCTGAAGCCCATCTGACCCCGATATGTTTGTTCGAGATAAATTGTGGAGAAATGAAAAGGGAGACCTTGTTTCTACCCCCCCCCCAAACCCCCCAAACCCCGGGCTGATCCTAGCAGAGAGCCAAGATTGCGGGGCACTTGGAGACCGCGGAGACAGTATCCTGACTGCGGCTTCTCTCCCAGTTTTTAAACAGAACTCAGCTTTTAAAGTTCGTCACCAAGGATATGTAACTGCGTATCCAAAGCTTTTCCTCCAGAAGGAAAACAAAACAAAACAAGCAGTCAACGCCAACAATTCGCACCAACCACCTCTCATTTGCCGCCTCCTTTTTCTTTCAGTATGACTTTCTTGCTTAAAGGGCGCTTACATGGACACTTTTTCGTTTTATCCTTTAACCACAGCTACAACCTACCTGTTATTGTCCACTTTGCAGACTCACCAGGGCCTGAAGAAGAAAAGGAAAAGACTCAGAAAGCTCTCTACCTCCCTGAGGCACACCGCTGGACGTTGTGTTTATAATTTCGCGTTGTCCTGAGAGTTCCCTGCCTGATTTTGATTTAAAACTGCAATCTTATGAGAGAGCACTCTACTGTAACTCTTTGAGTAGTAGTGCTAGGTAGTAGTCCTTTACTGCCTTGGAGGCTGTATTGAAGAAGTTCCTAGATGCGCAAAGCGAAGTCTGCACCAATTGTCCTGTCAAAGGGAAAACAACACCTAGAATTACCATTCCAACCAAAAATACCCCTCCCCCGCACACACATACACCAGGGAACAACACAATTTTGGGTCTCTCGTTTCCTAACTGAAAGGCTGTTGCTGTTGCAGCACCTGGCCAGTGAGTGAGCTCTTCCTGTTGGAAGTGGGTACCAAGGCCAGGCATTGCGTATCTGGAACCCATGAGCTGCCCACTGAGGAACTAAACCCCGTCCAGGATGGTGTTGCACTTATGGTTTATCCTGGTTTATAATGAGGAAACTAGAGTTTTTGCAGCCAGTTTTGTTGTCACCCTGCTTCTCGCCCAGAAGTCCACAGGCACCCAGTGAGGCAGATGCAAGTGAATGTGTGGGGACACTATCAGTCCAGGACAGAGGAGACAAAGCTGCAGGGCCAGCCTGGCTCTGCCCTTCTTACAGCCAAACAAATGCCCCTGAAGAGCTGCTGCAACAGGTGTCTGCGCAGGGTTGTCTTCACCAGTCAGGCTCCATCAAATTTGTCACCAGGCTGCCTCCGTTTTGGGGGTATCTCACAGGAACCCTTCCCCTGTCCTCTTTCAGAAGTTTCTTCTTCTACCTTCTGTGTTGGCTTGGGGGTTGGGATGGGCTCATCCTGGGACAAGTTTGGTAAATAGATCCTTTGTTCTGTGTTCTCTCTGACCTGGGGTAAGGCAGGAGGATTTATTGGTCAGAGCAGGGAAATCTTTCTTGAAGCCCTTGAACTTGAACTTGATACCAGGTGAGGAGGCCAGGAGAGACTAGGGAGAGCAGAAAGACGTTATGGGGGACAGCTGGAGAGCGCAGGCTAACTCTGCTTTTCCTATTGATGACTTGAGGCTATCAGTACAAATACATGGTCTCACACATTAGGGGCAAGCACATAGGTTTTAAAAATCTAGATTGTTTATACAGGTGCAGAACAAAGTCTTTCTTTAGAAAAGATTAATGGTGGGGAGAGCACTACACTTCTCTAAACAGTCTCAAAAACTGGACGCAGACCCAGTGCGAAGGGGGTCAGGCCAGTTTCTTTTCATTAAATTGCCTGACCCTAACAATTTGGGCTGATTATTTTGTAGCATTTGCCTTCCTTCTGTCTTTTTCTTTTTCCTTCCCTCCCTTTCCCCATTTTCTTCACCTCCTCCCTCCTTCTACATTCCTATGAAAGTCAGTTGCCTTATTTTTGTTTCATTTATTTTTTCTTTCATTTTCACTTTCCCTCTGCTTACTTATTTGCATATTCTTTCATTTACTCTTTTTTTCAAATTGCAGATGGATAATATTTAGAAATGTATCTTGCATACATTTCACATTAACATATAACTAGAGGTGGCTTTATATGTTTGCAGTATCTACTGTTGAACTCTTTCATGAGTTTTTGCTTTTCCTTCTCCTTGATGGATTACAACACTCACAGAATTAAATGGTCTAAATATATATATTTTTAAAAGTTATCTTCCTTTCATTGCTTAATGTTAACACACACCATAAGTGAATAATAAAGCCTTGACTTTTCTCTTTGAAAAAACGCACTGGGCCAAGCAGCGTGGAACATGCTTGCAATTCCAGCTACTTGATAGGTTGAAGCAGGAGAATCACAGATTCCAGGCTAGTCTGGGCATCTTAGTGAGACTCTGTCTAAACTAAAAAGTAGTGGATGCATCTTGAGACCATAGTGTTAAGTGAAATAAATCACATAGAAGTTTAATTTTCCCATCATTTTTATATGAGAAACCAAAATTACAAATAAAGGGCAAAATTAGAGATAGATAATAGGAAGTAGGGAGGTAGATCTTTCTCAAATAAGAGGATCAAGAGATGGAAAGAGAAAGGAGGAGAGAGAGGGGATACAAAAAAGAATTAAGACGCATTATGTACAAGTATGAACTCCACAAGACTGTAAACATTATGAGTTGTAAATGTGTACTAATAAAATTTTTAAAAATACTAAAATTAATTTTTATTGGGCTATGCTTTTAAAATATTTAGATTGATAACATATATATTGCCATTTATTGTATACATAGCCATACTTTATAAATATCCGGTGGTGGGTAATTGGGATTGAAGTTGCTTTGTTAAACAAATGTTAATACATTTAATAATATTTCCTAATCCTAATTTTTCTGCTTCCTGGCTATACAACTTTTGGCAATGTAGAGCCTCAGTTTCTCAACATAGAAAATGAATTATCTTTTTATAAGAAAGAGGAAATATATGAGCAATTTTCTACATCAGATCATGGAACATGGGAGAAAATAAATAGGTTTTACTATTTATTTCCTTGCCCAGCGCTACTCAGCTAGTAGTGTCAGCCCCAGGCTCATTCAGCTAGTGTCAGAGCCTGGGGCTGCTCAGGCTTTAGACTCCAGGGCTTATTCTCAATCTTAGCTGTCACTAGAATGGCTCATGTGCTTTGACTGTGGGCTCTAGGGTCTGACGTCCACAGCCCTATCCCAAAACTTTTTTAAAGTTCTCAGAAGGATCCCACTGAGGGAAAAGTTGGATGGGGCTTCATTGTACCTTTCTTCCCCCAAACTTTCTTATAAATTCCAAGCACTTCTCCAAGCCTATTCTATCAACTGGAAAAAAATGAAGTACAATGCCTAAATCAGAGTTGCTGGAAATATTAAGTGAGGTCGTGGTGTTGTGAAATCAGCCTGCTGAGGTATGATACAGAAAGGTGCCAAATCTATAAAAATACTTCAAAATACAGACATTTTAGAAGGGCACAGTACAGTCAGGTGATAATGACAGACCGTAGAAAAAGGGCCTCTCCCCTGAATGCTGCAATACCACTGGCTGAGGAAGTCTGGAGGGCTGGTGAGACAGGCATGAGGGTTGAGAAGGGCAATTCCCTGCAAGGAGCAGGTGTTTACAATACAGCTGTGGCCTTCCCTTTGGTGGAGCTCCTTGGGTGACATTGGTGTCCCTCCCAAAAACCTCTTGAGGTTCTATACTTTCCCACTTTCTCTCTCTATTGTTAGTGGTACTGGGGTTTGAACTCAAGGCCTTGTGCATTGTAGGGAAGCATTCTACCACTGTGCTACATCCCCAGATGCAGGCATTTGTTACACTTTTGAGCAACTGTGTGCCTTGATCTGGAAAAACAAAGCAACTAGATATCACTGGCCAGTGTGGAAGACACCTGGCCTATAAGGCTACTGAGCACTTGAAACATGACAAGTCATGTACTGTCATGAAAAGATGCACATTGAGTTTTGGAAACATCCTATGAGAAAAGAATGTAATATTTGTCATGAATATTTAGACTACTAGCTATGTCAAGCAAGCCTAACATTTTGGGGTGCATTCACTTAAATGAAATTCATTAAAACTAATTTCACATTTTAAATTACTAAAATGGTTACTAAAAATCTAGAATTCCATATATAGGCCCTGCTAGTTCATAATTTGGGGACTAATCTCATGGATTAACTATGGAACTCTTCATTGTGCCACTCTTGTCTGATTTGGGTGAGGTGTGTTGACTCTGAATCCCACTGCTCCAGTGCACATTCTAAGGAAAGCAACAATAGTATGGGGATCTCACATTATATTGTGCTTGTCTTACCTGCCTTATCATCTAGTCTGTGTCTCATGTCCTTGAATAATCCTGCACATGCCAGCACAGAGAGATACTTCTGGTTGAGTTTCCGCAGCCCCTTCTCAGAGAAAGCCTCACTGCCAGATGAAGGTTTGGTTTCCCAGCCTTGGTGCTCAGCTCTGAAGTGAGTGAGGCCCAGCTCCACTGTCCAGCTCTTGGGCCTTTCCATAGAAACACTGGAATGAAAGTGTTCTGCCCACATTAGCTGGGAGACGGTTCCCACACCCGTGTTGTGTTGGCCATAGGTTGTGCACATCACTGAGTATATATGCCATGTGCAGGGTGCAAGGTCAAGGCTGGTCTCCCCAGCCCTGGCCCAAGCAGTT